CTGACCACGGCCCCCAGGCCGGGGGGCAGCGCTGCGGGGCCCCCTTGCTCCCTGCAGCCTCCCCGTGCGTCTCGCACGCGCGATCAGCGCTCCTGCCTCGCAGCGCGTGGGCGCGCGGCCGCGCTCGCCTTGCACTCAGTGCCGTCGGCACGGAGAACGGTGCACGGGGGCTGTGTTCCCCGCTCCGCCACGCCGTTCCCTCTCTGGGACAGAGTACCTGTCCCCCAGCTTCCCTGGCTCGTTCAGAGTTCTCTAATAGCGAAAGAAATGGCACCTTGGCTCCCAGGTTTGTATGGCAAGGCCCGGGTGCCAGCCTGGGGAGGCTGGACTGTGTGGCTCCAAAATGGGGAAGGAGGGAGAGGTGAGTGAGGAGGATGGAAACCGCGGGCGCCGCGGTGCCGCTGTGCACGGGCTGCGGGCCGGGAGCAGCAGGGGCGGCGCTGGCCCCTGCGCCTTTGAAACCGGAGCTGGTGGTGCCGGCGGCGGGGCCTAAATGCCCGAGAGACTGCCTGGTGGTTAACGGGTACCGATACGGGGTGGGAAACACTACCGAAGTAGTGTCAGCAAGTGGCCCGTTTTCTCTAATCCTTACTATTTTACACGATTAACTTAACAAGTTACTTTGTTTAAGCAATTTTTGAGCTTTATGTTGTAAATGGCCTTTCCCTGTAATTACTGGGTATGATATAGTAGTGTTTAGGGAAGGCTTCTTTTGGGAAAAGTCTATTTTTCATTCATTTTTTTCTATAAATGAAAATATCCAGAGCTAGTATCTACCGATATCCACAAGTATCAATATCTAGACCTTCTAGGCAGCCTTGCTCAGAACAATTACAAAGTGATCTTCAAGCTTGTGTTAACATGTGTCTTTTAAGTTTTTGGCAAAGGAGTCGGGGAGCATTTGTGAAGACAGAGAATTTGCCTACTACAGAAGGGAAAGCCTTGTTCTCAGGAAGGGCTGCAACAGCCCTGTGTTGTGGAAGGGCTCGTTCTTGTGCCGAGAAGCAGGACGTTGAACGTGTTTCCTGCTGTTCATTGGATGCAACCCGTGCAGATGGTACCGGGCAAGGCAATGGCAGTGCCCTGTGTAGCCAGGTCGGAGCTGGCGTTCCCGCTCGGGCACAGGCAGCGTGGGGTGGCCGGGCAGGGCAGGCGCAGCACGGCCGTGTTTGCCCGTCTGCTCATCCAACCCCATTCCTGGTCGTTTATGGTGTATTTTTAATCTCTTGTTCTGCTGTAGATTGGAGTTGCACATGACTTTGTTCTGCTTCCATAAATTTTGTTCTTCTGATTCCCCATGTAACAACCTAGATCTGTGATATCTCATGTTTTTGTTTTTCTAGCTTGAGAAGATTCAGAAAGAAACTGCTCTCCTTCAAGAATTAGAAGATCTAGAACTGGGTCTCTAAAGCTCTGTGTTAATCCAGTGGGGCTTTAACACAAAATTCATGCAAAATATGTGTATTAACTTGAACACAATAAAATGTTTCAGCAAATGACTGAGAATGCAAAAGTTTACAGATTTGCTGCACTTACCTTTCTAAAACCTTTCATAAAGATTTGTGCACATGCAAAATTGTAAACAAGTGAAGAATGTCACATCAGCTGGTTTTGCTGCTGTTCAAAACAGAAATGTGCTTATGTTCTGAAAGCATATTGCTTAAAAAAACAGAAGCATGTTGGTTTGTCTTTCCCTTTTTTGGGGTGAGGAGGGAAAGGAAATGAGCTTTACCCCATTTGAAAGCTTTATTCTGTTTAAAAGACATAGGGTCTTTATGCAGCAATAGGATGTAGACAAAATAAAGAGCATTTAATAATCGAAGTACTTCTGTTTTTTGTTACAAGGGCAGAATTTAAAAACTAACGAGGCCATGTCACCAATATCAAAGATAATTCACTGCTAAGGTTGAATGAAGTTTCAAATACTGCAGCTGCTATGGTGACCTTTGCACGATTATTACTGATTGTATTATCCTTCTTTTTAAATTGTTTTTACCCTTCCTTTTTTTTTCTGATCCATTATTTGTAACCCTTAAAAAGACTAAATATGCAGAGAAAATATGGTAAGACATTTATTACACTATGTTGTCAAAATCACACACACAAAAGATTTGCTGATCCTTTTATCTGGAGTAATATTAGGCTCAGTTCTATAGTGCATTGCCTGTTACAACAAAAACAGTTTTTAATGTCTGGGCAATAATGTTAATTTGCTCTTTAGCTTTATGTATTTCAATCCAACATCAATGAGCTTTTCCAAGCTGACAGTAACCTATACCTATTAAATTTAATGGTTTATGAGTATTTAGGTGTTTTGCACCCCTTAGAATTTCATAAAATTCTATTTCCAGGATAGAGTTCATGGTCATGATGATTATTAATATTTGGTGTACATGTTTTGCCTCTTTGCTTATGCAATAAATAAAAAGGGAGGGATTTTAAATAATAAATTTTGGGAAAATAGCAGAGACCTGGTTTGAGGCATTAAGTGATTTAACCCCTTCAGGGTTCTCTGGAGACCCGCGTGTCTGCGGGTTCCGGGGCGGCTGCTGCTCCTCTCCGGGCGATGGCGGCGGGGG